CAGTTTCCACGAGCGGCGGAAGCGATCACGAATCATCATTATGTGGATGATGTCCTGTGTATCGTACACACAGAGCAGGAATCTGTTGAGCTGGCAGAGCAGGTGAAGCTGGTACACTCCAAGGCAGGTTTCAACATTAGAAATTGGCTGTCAAACTCGTGTGAGGTCCTAATACGGGTCGGGGAACAGCAAGCGGTGTCGCGAAAAAAAACTTCTCGTCGACAGGTCGGCTACCTACGAACACGTTCTTGGCATGATCTGGAAGCCAGAACAGGATGTCTTCGTCTTCCAAGGTGTGTTTAGGGATGAAATACAAGCTCTTTTACTGGATGACACGGTTCCGACGCTGAGAGAAGATTTGCGGGTCGTAATGAGCATCTCCGATCCCATTGGGCTAGTAGATGTCTTCGTCGTCCATGGAAAGGTGCTCGTGCAACACATCTGGCGGTCAGGACTTAGCTGGGATAAGCGTATACCTGACGCACTGCTTGAACAATGGAAGAGATGGATCAAGTTGTTGAAGCAGTTGGATCACGTCGAAATTCCCCGCTGCTACTTTCCTGACTGCACTCCTGAAGATTACCGTTCCATGGAGCTGCATATTTTTGTTAACGCATCTGAAAAAGCATTTGCGGTTGTTGCGTAATTTCGAATCGTCGAAGGATCCAGAGTTCGTTGCTCCCTAGTGTCGGCGAAAACGAAGGTTGCGCCTTTGAAACTCCTGTCTATTCCGAGACTAGAACTGTCAGCAGCCGTTCTTGATGCAAGGTTGTCGAAGTCCGTAATTGAGAACCATACAATTCCAACCAACCGAAAAGTGTTCTGGAGGGATTCTCGCACCTTTCTTTCCTGGTTGCAATCTGATCCTAGAAAGTATCGACAATTCGTTGCTTTCAGGCTGACGGAAATCCACGATTTAACGCAGGTCGACGAGTGGCGTTGGGTGCCAACCCGTTTGAACGTTGCCGACGAGGCAAAGGTCCGCCTCCGACAGTCGCTGGTTCCATGCGCCATCGTTCCTCTATCAACACCCGGATCTGTGGCCCCAGCAAACAACGAAGGAGGTGGAAACAGTGGAAGAACTTCGTCCGGTACACCTCCATCAGAATGTCGTCGACAGAGTTTGAAAGGTTCTCGCTGCAGAATCAAGAAGCTAGCACCAGGTAAAACAGAGTTCCTGGATCGGGACGAAATACTCAAGGCGGAGTCACCATTTTCAAGCTGATTCAGCGTTATCCTCAAGAGAAATCGAGGACTTCCCGCTGGAGAACAAATGAAGATCGAGAAAACTAGCAAAATTTCCAAACTTTCTTCCTTCCTGGACGAACAGGATGTCATGCAAAGGGATGGCAGAGTTGCAAATGCTCAGCAGGTATCGTTTGACTTCAAGCTTCCCGTAATTCTGCCCAAAAAACACGGCGGAACTAAACTCCTCGTCGATTGGTACCATCGGCAGTACAAACACTGCAATGCTGAAACAACGGTGAACGAGATGCGCCAAAGGTTTCACGTGTCTGAGATGAGGGTTGCCTTCAAGCTAGCCAGAAAGCAGTGCCAGTGGGGCAACATATACAAGGCGACTCCGGAGATTCCATGAATGGCTCCCCTGCCTCAAGCTAGGACGGTGTCGCACGTTCGGCCATTCACCTATGTCGGCGTGGCCTACTAGGTTAAGCGTTGGGTTGCACTATTCACCTGCTTGACCATACGTGCATCTGGAGGTGATGCACAACCTGACGACGGAATCATGCAAGATGGCGATTAGGCGGTTAATCGCACGGAGAGGGGCCCCACGAGAGATATTCAGTGACCGGGGAACAGACTTCGTGGGAGCTAGGCGCGACATGAAGAGGAAACTTCAGCACATCAACAGTAACTATGCGGGTACGTTCACGAACACGGATACACAGTGGCGTTTCAATCCACCCTTGACGCCACACATGGGGGGAGACCTGTGCAAACAAGTACTGGACAGGTTCTGGGGTTGATGGATCAAGGAGTATCTTTCTACGATCACTAAGCGTACGAAATGGTTCATGGATGGAAGACCCGTTCAAGCTGGTGATCTGGTGGTTGTGGTGGAAGACCGGATCCGGAATGGTTGGCTGAGAGGACGAGTGCTACGTGTTTTTCCGGGACCTGACGGCCGGGTACGGAATGCAGAGGTATTGACAGCCAGTACAGGAGTGCTGGTTCAGTCAGTGGCAAAGTTGGCAGTTCTGGAAGTTGGTGGTACCGCTGAAGTAAACATCGAGCAATAGGGGTCGGGGAATGTTCGGATAGACGAGAAACCAGCACCCCGGTGCGACAGGGTTACCCGGTCTTACACGCAGCAGGATGAGCTATATATAAGAATTCCAGTAAATACGCATTGAATTGTCAACGAATTGAATAGTTCCTAAATACCTACACACGACAAGTTAACCCAATATTAAAAGCTAGAACAAAGAACAAACAAGACGCAGAACAAATTTTTCTTAAAATTTATAATTATTCTAGTTTAAAATTGTTAAACACACTAATAAGGACAAGAAATGTAAGTGAATACATAAACACAACATTTAACAAACCCTTATTTAACAATAATCCTAATTAAATATATTACAGCTAAAAAGCTGACTCATGCACATTGCATAAAAACGAGTCGTGCTGTACTAATCCGAAATTAAACAAAGGCGATTTGTCGATCAAAAATATCGCCTTCCATAGCGCCTACCTTAGCCAACGATTCCGCTTTCTTATTTTCCTGAATTGAGCAATGAGATGGGACCCAAGCTAAGGTGATAGTTTACCCAAGCAACACATATCCATCAAAATAGGTTGCTGTTACTTGATTGTGATTGAAATAGGGTGCATTCAAGTAACCACAACTGTTAAGTGACCAGTGTGTTGCTAGGGTAGGAGCAGTTGGATAAAACACTCAGGCAGAAAATACGAGGAGTGCTTAATCGTCCTCATTGAACGAATCGCCTCCAATGAGCTAAGACTATCCGTAAAAATGAAATAATGGTCAGAAGGAAGTGAGGCAATTCGCTCTACTGCGTAAAATATGGCTGCGAGCTCCGCAACGTAAACGAAGCATGGTTTTTGCAGTTTATATTAGGTGCTACGAAATTGATCGCAATCACGATTGGAGATTAATGAAGAAGGGCCAACCTCCAGCGTCATGTACTCATAGTACAAACTCATGAATCTTGTTTGAGGATTTCGGTCGAGCAGCTTCTCAAAGTGTTCTATTACCAAAGGATTCATTACTTCACAACGGATGAGAAACCGGAAAGACAGCTCAGCGAAATGATCTGTCAGTGGGAGAACACCAGCGAGTACTTCGAGGCTCATCGTATGAGTCGAATGCAAACAGCCTAGCGCAATACGAAGGCAACGGTATTGAATCCGTTGCAGCTTCAGGATGTGTGTTTTTGCTGCGGATTGGAAGCAGAAGCTGCCGTACTCTAGAACCGAAAGGATGGTCTTCCGGGTGGGCTCCCCAGCATGTTCCGATAATTGTACGAAGAAAATGAATCCTTTGTTGGCATTTTTGTTTCAGATACGCAATATGTTTTCCCCATGTGCATTTGAAATCGAACCAGACACCTGAATACTTAAAAGAAATTCTTTGAGTGATTGTTTTATCCATTAACTGAAGCTGTAACTGTGCAGGATGATGCTTCCTCTCAATTTTTCTCCGGAGAGAATTCGATACCCGGCTTCATAGCCCAAGTAGACAAATATTCTAAGGTATCTTGCTATGGTCCTTGCATGTCCGGTGCCCTTGGCCTGGTGACGGAAACAACGCCATCATCTGCAAGCTGTCTTAGCGAGCAATTTTCATCAAGACAACCATCAATGTCTTTTACATAAAAAATATAAAGAAGGGGGCTTAAACATGAGCCCTGGGGGAGCTAATTCGTGAAGTTGTCGAGTTTCCATGAGAAAAGCTCATATATTTCTCAGACAACAAGTTGCTCAAATAGTTGTTCATAATTGGTGCAAGCCCACTATCGGGGAGTTTATCCGAAAGGATGTCTGAGATGATTCTCATGCATTTCACAAATATGAACCTTATATTTTACTTCAATTTTACTTAAATACGTTCATTACCAAATCAGCTCTCAAATTAATTAACAATTGGTGTTGCTAAAAAAATAAGAACTGTTAACAAATGCCTTGAGTTTCGAAAATCCCAATTTATACGTTAGTTGTTGGTGAAATGTGATTGTAATCAAATAATTGTGTCTTAAACAAAATATGAGGTTATTACTCTCTCTTATATTATCGTGAAACGTCTTCTGGATTTAGTTTTAATGTATTTAAAATCGTTGCGATTGATGGTTTTTATCTCCGACACGACAGAGAAATACTATTTATTATGAAGAGGTTTGTTTATACAGACCACCTTATTTGGACTTTAACCGGTTTCATTAAGATTTAAAAAAAATATTGTTGGTTTAAAACACGCGTTTTCCTTTCTTTGTTGGTGATATAATTATTTCCATGATAATAATTTATCAAATAACAATGTTCTCGGTCATTATAAAAGACTATTAGAATCCTTAAGCTATGTCTGAACAAATAAATTGGCTACAAAAAAAAATTGATAATCCCTTGGATAATGATTTGGACGAACAAACATCTGTTACTTAAAAGTTTCAAAATACGTAAGCTCCAGTTGACGATGCAAACTTCTATATAATGATCAAAAAACTCTCAAAAAACCAATAACAAATTGAGATGTTCTGACATTATATTTTTTAAAGTAAAAGTTGCTAGTGGTTTGCTATTCTCTGCTAGTCGGAATGTATTATTTACTATCACTACTGGGTAAATTTCATATCGAATAGAGCCCGAGACCGGTGGTGAGTTATTTCTGAACCCATACAATTAACCTTACCGTAACGACCAAAGTTGTTAATCGATAACTAGATAGCGTCTTTTCGTCGATCAAGACGTTAAACATTTGAGTAAAAATCTTCATTCAGACTATTCTCTTTTCTCAACAGTTTCATCTCCGGTATTTCCCTCCTCGGAACTCCCACGGAAATCTACGTCTACGGTGTACAGTACATGTACGTCATGGGCGGTGTCATCACGATGGGCTTCATCATGATGCACATCTATCTGCCTGTATTTCACAATCTCCAGCTGACATCCACGTATCAGGTACTTCCCGATTCTCAGAAAAGCGATCCAATCAACTAATCTCATTAATTAATTTCAGTATCTCCAAACTCGCTTCGACAAACGAATGCGCCTGTTCGGGTCCGTCCTGTTTACCCTCGCAACGGTAAGTTCAAGACACGCATCGCATTTGTACTGCTTAAGGAAGGTCAATATCAATTCCGCAAATGGAATGTAATGTCTCCGGCAATCATCGCTAATCTAATTGAAGCCATCACGATCTGCGTGCGTGTCGGGAAAAAAAAATCCCAGCACAAAGTGTGTTCTTACTTGCTTAAGCGTTCAGATTTGTTGATTAGTTGGTCTGCTGTGACAGGTTCAATTACCTTACATTCTTCCAGATGGCCTGGCTACCGATCGTCATCTACGTCCCGGCGTTGGCGTTCAATCAAGTGACCGGCGTGAACGTTCATCTCATAACGCCACTGGTCTGCATCATATGTATCTTCTATACATGCGTTGGTGGACTAAAGGCGGTTGTATGGACCGACGTCATCCAAACGGTGATGATGTTTGGAGCAATGATGTTGATCATCGTCAAAGGAACCTACGACGTCGGGGGACTGTCGGTAGTGATGGACCGGGCTAGCGAGAGTGGCCGTTTTGAGGCCCCGGATCTTAGATTCGACTTGACCACGAGACACAATATCTACTCGTGCGTGATCGGCGGAGTGATTTATTGGTTGAAGACGAACGCAGTCAGCCAGAATATGATCCAGCGGTACCTGTCGCTTCCAACGCTGAAGGATGCCAAGAGGGCTCTGTGGACTTTCATTGTGGGAACATTGTTCCTGCTGGGATTGTGTGGCTACAGTGGGCTGTTGATCTACGCCAAGTACCATGATTGCGATCCATTGACGACAAAGCTGGCGAAAGCGAAGGATCAGCTGTTGCCCTTGTTGGTTATGGACACACTCGGAGACTATCCCGGATTGCCGGGATTGTTCGTGGCGGGCGTTTTCTCTGCGGCCCTAAGCTCACTGTCCACCGGGCTAAATTCGTTGTCTGCGGTAGTGTTGGAAGATTTCTTCAAGCCTTTCCTGGATCGACCGCTTAGCGAACGGACATCGGCGTATGTAGAATAATTTCCAAATGATCATCAACCCATTCAAGAGTTTATTTTTTTTTCCTTGCAGGATAATCATGCGCTCAGTGGTGGGAGTGTTCGGTGTGATCTGTGTAGGGTTGGTGTTGATTGTGGAAAAGCTGGGTTCGGTGCTACAACTTTCGATGAGTCTGGGAAGCGTCAGCAATGGACCTTTGCTGGGAATATTTACTTTGGGAGTACTCATTCCTTGGTCTACCGGAACGGTACGGATGTCAATGCAGTTTACACGAATATTTAAGAGTTACGACGTGTAATTTTTTTCAGGGTGCCATAATCGGGGGCAGCGTTGGGTTGGTTGTCATGTCCTGGATTTGTTTGAAGGCTCAAATGGCAATTGCATCCGGAGAGTTACAGTTCGAGGTCAAACCGACTGATACACAGGGCTGCAGTTATCATTTTATCGCATCGGAACCGATGAGCATGCTGGCGATCAATGTGACAGCACCTTTGGAACCGGAGATTGTGAGGTAATTTAGAATGAATAATTGGCACAACGAAATGGACGTTAGTATGTATAGTGGAATGCTTGGTTAAAGACGAAGATAAGGATGGGTGAGTGCGAAGTGCATATCGAACTGCACTGATTCTATCCTAACAATCCAACTGGCATGATACGGACACCAGGCAACCACACTTGACTCCAAAATTGATCGTACCAGTGAGTAATATAGGTATCGTAGGCAGAGTGGATCCCGGAACTCAGCAGAAATTTTGAATATGAATCCAAGCTGCCTATTTGCTTTAGAGATTACATCGCTATAGTGTACTCAAAGAGTGTGTAAGAGCGCTATCTAGCATAAAACCCAAGTCTCGTATTTGAGTTACTCGATGTAGAGGCTGTTCTGCGATAGAGTAGTCAAAACAAACGGTTTGATCTTTCGATGGAATGAAATGATACTGCATTGAAAATGAAATTACGAGAACACCACATTTCAAAACAGTTTACCATCCTCTGCAGCTCGAAACAATCTAGTTGACTCCTATTATAATATAGATCTTGACATCGTCCGCGTAAAACTTTCGGGATCCAGGCATCATTGCTATTCATCAATATTAATGGCCCCAGATTGCTTCCTTGGTGTTGGTGTTGGAAAATGTCTCAGATTGTTCGGATCCAATTTTTATACACAGCGTGCGACTAGTTAAGTACGATCTGAACCGAGTGACAAAAGCAGGAGACATGCCAATTTTTTTTTTCAGTCTAGCTAGTAATATCCCATTGTTAACACGATCAAACGTGGCTTTAAGATCCTCCACTGGCAATCAATTTTCTTTCCTTTTGGAATTAACGAAAGACCAAAATCGTTTCGGGTTCCTACGAAGGCTGATCTGTGTCCGAATGACGTATCGTTTGTAAAGAAATTGATTGTAAAGTCGATACATGTTACTCGTTTGCGTGAATATGTGCTTTAAAACAAGGCAACGAGAACGGTAGAAATTTCGTAGAGCATTTGATATTATTCGTTTTAGTTGTACCCATCGTCCACTTTGGGAAGTATATGCATTTTCGATGTGTACAGGAATGAAAGTTCCAATAGTTCCCAGTGTGCTTGGAAATTCAGTTTCTGAAAAAGGATCATTGCAAATTTTATCGGAGTTTTAAAATATGCTACAAGTATAAGTCATGGTGTACAAAACTCTTGTTGGCACAGCACTATGCGCAGAGTTCTTTTCACGGTTCCTTTAGCAATCCGTTTATTTGAAAATGCTTTAAAGCTTAAATATAAATTTGTTTCAACTGATTAGCTCTAATGATATTTATCGAATGTTTACTCACAATTCAGTGACTTTACTCTTAGATTCAACGCCTACTTAGCCTATGATAACTGCACTCTTTCTTAGTCACTTTATCTAGAATAAATTGGTTTTAATATCTTAGTATTAAGCTAGGCAATAAGGTTTTAGATTTATTCACAGATCGTAGCGTAGCAGTAAGCTTTAGTGTTAATCCAATATAAACAATGCATGAATGACTAACCTAAAAATTGTAATGTTTATGTCACCTTAAGTATTTAGTAGGAAATATTAATTTTATTAATTTTTTAACTTACGCAATGTTAAATTCAGCACTTCAACTATTATTAGGATAGGCTAACACTTTAATTTTAGTTTCAATTCACACTAATCTTAACTTTTTAAATAGCATAGAATAATTCTGCTGACTGCCTGCATACAATCATAGTTTTTTCACTCTTCTACTTTCCATGACATTCTGTCTTATCATCAATCACACCACAGTAGTTATCATTAGTCAAATCTGATTCAGCATCCCTACGGTAGATTCTTCCATGCCGCTAACGGTCGTAACGTCGCCCGCAACATTCCCCTCCCCGTAATACTGCTCTGGTTCAGCAGGATTACCTATTGGGAGTACGTTGAGCACAACAAGCTTTGCCACGGGACGACGTAGAACTCCTGTAGTAGTCTGAACATCTGCCTGCCGGATGCGACCATCTTTCCCCGGCATGACCTTTACAACCTTTACTCTAGTCCATCGATTCCGGATTGCTTCATCGACGATGAACACAACATCTCCCTCCTGTATGGGCTTCACTTCCTGGTGCCATTTGGTACGCATTGTTAGTACCGGGAGATATTCCCGGATCCACCTTGACCAGAATTGATCCAGAGGATAACGACAAAGATTCCATCCATTTCGCAGTGCCTCACCTTCTGTAGTTGTCGCTTTCTCCGTCTGTTTGGCCCCATTTGACCTGAGGAGGATGAAATGATTCGGAGTCAATGCCTCTTGGTCCGACGTTTCGGCATATACGTCAACAGCCTAGAGTTGACCATTGATTCAGCTTCGCACAGCACCGTCTGGAATACTTCTTCCGATGGTGCTCGGGAATGGTTGATAGATTCCATAGCAACTTTGACTGCTCGTACCATCCTCTCCCATGCACCACCCATGTGTGGGGATGATGGTGGGATGAAGAACCATCGTGTGTTGGTATTAGTGAAGGTCTCCGACAGTTCACGGTTCATTGCAGCTACTTGACCAGCCAACTCTCAGCTGGCACCAACGAAGTTTGTTCCATGGTCTGTGTAAATTTCCGCCGGCGCTCCACGGTGTGCAATGAATCGCCGCAACGCTAGCTTGCCAGATTCGGTTGACATTGACGCTGTTACTTCCAAATGCACAGCCCTTATCACCAGGCACGTAAAGAGTGCTACCCAGCGTTTGACCTGGCTTCAGCCAATCTTGATCATGTATGGCCCGAAATAGTCAATTCCAACCAACGAAAATGGCCGGACGAACGGCGTCACCCGTGCTTGAGGAAGAGGTGCCATCCTAGGCACTTCTGGACTGGCTTTGTAGACTACGCACCACTGACAATGCTTTGCCACTGTGCGCGACACTGTTCGAAGTGCTGAAATATCGAATCGCTGCCGAATTTCATTGACTACAGTTTCACCGTTATGATGACCGAACTTTCTGTGATACCAGTCTACCAGGAGCTCGGTTACACGATGATTTTTCGGCAGAATTACAAGAAACTTTGCTTCGTAAGGAGCCAGAGGAGAAGCTTCTATGCGCCCTGCCACGCGTATCACGCTGAACTCGTCAAGGAACGGTGATAACTTCCTTATTGGACTACTGTTTTCTAACCGTAGCACTCGACAACCCTTAGATTTCTTTGATTTTTTCACCACTTCTAACTCTTCGGCATATACATCTGCTTGTGCAAGCCGCCACAGTGCCCGCTCAGCGCGAATAAAATCCTCTTGCTTCAGTTCGCGTCTGATCTGCATAGCTCTTTGCTTCTTAACTTCCACGTACCGATCAACAAACGAATACACGTAGGCAATTGTTCGAAGCATGCGCTCCCACTTTGAAAATCTTTCAGGCTCGATGCATGTCGGAGTTACCTCCGCCCGATGCACGTGAATAGCACGTAGTTATTTTTCGGTTTCGATTGATTGAACCTGCTGCTCTGGCCACTCATCCTCGTGTTGGTAGAGGAATACCGGCCCGGTGAACCAGCGACTGTCCGGATGCAAAGTGGGACCTTTTCCCCATTTGGTGGCTTCGTCCGCCACATTCTGTTTTGTGTGTACCCATCGCCATTCTTCAATCGTTGTTTCTTCCAGAATTTCCCCAACACGAACCGCTACATACTGGCGATACTTCCGAGCATCTGATCTGATCCACGAAAGAACAGTTTTGGAGTCACTCCAGAAAAATCTGCGATATGTAGGAAGCGAATGGTACTCAGCAACGGATTTTGCTATTCGACTTCCGATGACCGCTGCCTGGAGCTCTAACCGAGGAATAGAGAGTGGCTTCAATGGAGCCACCTTGGCTTTTGATGCTATCAAAGCACATCGTGGCTGACCTCGATCCATCATTCGAAAATATGCAACGTAAGCGAAAGCAGATTCACTCGCATCCACAAACACATGAAGCTGCAGTGATCGGAAGCTATCCGGATCATATCCGGGGAAATAGCACCGTGGAATTTGAACTTCGTGTAGCTTGGTGAATTGATTGATCCACCTTCCCCAGTTCCTTTGTATTTCTGTTGGAATAGCTTCGTCCCATCCGACTTGAGATCTCCAGAGGTCTTGGATAATCATCTTACCATGAATGAGCAGGTTGAATATTAATCCAAGTGGATCAAAAACGCTCATCACGAATCGCAGGATACCTCGCTTCGTCAGGTCGGCTTCTGAAGTTCCTAAGCGTTTGGTAGTTGTTGTAGTTTTACGGAATATACAAATACTTCTTCACCCGGTAGCCAAGCCATTCCTAGAACCCGTTCTACCTTACTGGCTTTGTCGGCGGTGAAGTCTTTTCTCAGGTCTGTTGCATCTTCTCCCAGAATTCGCAGCACATCCACCGAATTAGACCGCCAGTTTCGCAGCTCAAAACTGGCTTTTGCTTGTACCATCCGTACCTCCAAAGCCGGTTTCCCCATTTCTTCCTCCGTATCTCGGCTATCCAAATAGTCATCCACATAGTGGTTTTCTACTATGGCAGCCGCTGCTTCGGGAAATTTATGCTTCCACTCCATTGCGTTAGTATTCTTCACGAAGTTGGCCGAACAGGGGGAACAGGTGGCCCCAAAGATCGCCACGTCCATCACGAACACTTCAGGTTTCAATGATGGATCCTTTCTGAAGAGGAAACGTAGAAATTGTAGATCTTCCTTCCGTATCTTCATTTGGTGGAACATCTCACGGATGTCACCTGCGACTGCCACCTGTCGCTGTCGAAAACGGCATAATACCGCTAATAATGACGTCAGAAGATCCGGTCCCTTTAACAACACGTCGTTGAAGGACAATCCGTGTACTTTGGCGGCTGCATCCCAAATGATACGCACTTTGCCGGGCTTACGTGGACTCGTGACCACTCCTAGTGGTAGATACCAAATGCGTTTTGAATCACTTTCTTCCAACTCCTTAGGTGTTGCTTTATGAGCGTAACCTTTGGCCTGGTATTCGGAAATCTGTTTTTCCA